ATAAACGGTTTTGTATTTTTTGACAGCGAGTTCATAGTGACCACCCTTTGACAAGCGAAAAGATAGGCATATCAAAAAAGAATCGAAATCTCGCACATACTTTAACGAATTCATCTCCACGTTGTTTCAATATTTCTGATTGTTTGAGTTTTTGTTCGTCGCTCAAAAATCTATCATCTTTGGCCTGTAAAAACAAATTAAGGGTTGGTCATAATAATAATTATCAATTATCTCACTCGTTCCAAATTGAGCAAGGTAACTTCGTACTCGACAGGTAAATTAGGTGGAATATGAAACTTCTCTACACCCTGTGTCGCTTTTGATTTTAATGATAATTTCCAATGGTCACCTTTGCTCATTCTGAAAATGGCATATTCAACACTAGAAAGGCAAATAAAGGAAGTATTCGATGAAAATCAGTCACTCAAACGAATTCAAAACTCACCCTAGAGGAATATTTTGTAAACAACCTCCTCCAGCAATGAAAGTAACTGTTCGTTCGTCAAATATTTGACCTTGATGCGTTCCTTTGAGATAAATTTCCACAGTGGCATCTTCATTTGGCTGCCCAAATACTTCACCTCTTTTTATTATCCGTCGTACAATGCTTTGATCTCGCTCGTCGCTAATATCTTTACCTAAAAAAAAAACGAATATCTTCGATAATTATTATTCTATATTTTCACTTGCCTACACAATCGAGAAGTTCAATTTCGAAGATCACAGTTGCGGCGGATCCGACTTTGCCGCCTAATCCTTTTAGACCATAAGCATAATTGGGTTTCGAAATGAATCGTGAGATTTCTCCACGCTTCATGGTCGCTACACCAATATCCCATGCTTTGATCACCTCGCCTTTACCAAAATTGAAACTAACCTTCTCATTCCGATCTCGAGTATTCTCGAACACCGTTCCATCAAGTAGAGTTCCAATATAATGAATAAAGACTGTATCATCGAACATTGGTTTTTCATCATCGGTACCTTGGCGAACAATTTCTTTGAATAGACCTTTGAAAACAAAAGAAACTCTCGAAATAGAAAACAAAATACATCTAGATGTTTACAGCCATCTTTAGTTGGTGAAATATCTTCGCCTTTCAGTTGAATTTCTTCTTGCTGGTTTGAAAGCATCGTTGCAATATTTATCTGAAAAACATATTCATTCTTCATTTAGAGAAAAAACCATGAAAGAGGACGCATGCACACTCGGTGTATGCTTTGATTCGATCGTATTTTACACCTTATACTCTAGCTCATGTTCGTCACGCATCGATAAATACTGCATGATAAAAAACCAACAATCATCATCAACGATGTAAATTATAACAACAGATGTCATTCGAATGAGAAATTTCGTATTTTATTCGATTTATTTTCTTTCCGTTTGACGAAAAGTTATGATAAATAAAGAAAGAATTTTATCACAAATATTCGTACTAAAACAGAGATCAAACGAAGTTGATTGGTGGTTATCACCATAGTAATCAATTTGTTTATGGCGTCGTTGTGATGAACTCATCATCAGTTTATCGTTTAAAGAAATTTAATGATATGAACTCGCGTGAACCATACATTCGATCTTTGTCACATTTCGATCGAGTTATTCTCATCTTTAACCACCGATTCAGTCAATAGAATATCCCATGCCTTCATCAAATTCGACAAGGATAGACCATCTATGCTTAGTTTTTTATAGAAAATCTTCAATTCTAGATTATGATTTTATAAACTTATCGAGATTCTGCTTTTCAATATTCGGACAGCATCCCGAATGTCGAAGCAAAGAATAAATAATACCCATTGTGCCAAGCTTCAATTGTTGGATTACTTCTTCAGCTACTAGCAAGTTCTATTCCTTTGTGGGTGTGGATGTGGGGGTTGGGGTTTGGGTGTATCTTCTGTTCGACCACATCCACATCCACATCCGCACCCTATAGGCACCTCTAGAATATCGTTTTCTCATACATGTCAAACCTGAAAGTTGAATTCAGTTATTGAATAGTTGAAGTGATAGTTGAATTCAACTTTCAAGTTTGACACTACTAACATATTTCAATCCACGATCCATCAGGCTGAAAACGTGGATTGAGTTTAATTGGGTATTTTCGACTAATTTGTTCTATTCTTGTGTCAGTTATCGGCATTGTTTTCTGTCACTAAAAGTGTCAATGAATACCGTCAGGGTCCGAAACACATGAATCAAAGTCATAATGTTGTTGTTCGTCCCTTTAAAGCACCATATAGAATGTCATAACGCCATCATTAAAATTCAAATGTTTGTTCCGCCTATTTAACGTTGAAAATCTTTCGATATCTTCGTCAAGTGCATGACGACTATAGGATATATAATGATTATATATCCTATAGTCGTCATGCACTTGACGGAGATTATTAATGTTTAACCAATTTTCGGAAGCGGTCATTGTAATCAAAAAAACATGATTGAAAACATTCTGTCAGAGCCAAATAGGCAAAAATGCAAACGAGTAATTCATTCGATAGACAATCGAAAATTGAGATGTTAGACATGTCAACTGTAATCTTTGATGACAAAATCAGAGTATTTTTTCGATTTATATGCAATTGTGCGTCAAATAGGGAATTTACCCATGAATGAGCAACGAATGTGAATAAAAATAGTGAATAATTTTAGTTAATGCTTCTTTTTTTTCGAATGCTTCATACAAGTAAGGAATACAATCCGACCATCATATACTATTATAGATGGATACAAATGCAACCCTCTTTTTTTCATACAATCACCAAATTCACTCTTCAAGGAAATGGTGAAGGCATTTTTAAATTTTCTAGACTCTTTAGTGCGTTAGTGTCAGTCGTGTGGAAGTCAGAAGCTTGCCAGTCGATTTTTACAACAGTATTCGGTATCGCGTACCCAGATCAATCGTTTCAGTCGTTGGAACCGGTAGTTTTTATGCCTACAACAAGCATGCTTATCTTCCAACACAGTATGATCAAATAGAGTACCTCTTTAGGTATTCCATTCGAATATTGATTGGGACTTATCATGCACTACTATGCAAGACTTTTTACAGATGGTATAGTGTTTTTGGTAATTCCCATTTTCGCCGATCCTGATATTGCCAAATAAATTTTTAATCAAAAACAACCGGGTCAAATATGATCTATTCTATATTCGATATTTTATTATAATTAATCAGTTTACTAACAAATTCACTGATTACAGGGTGGTAAATAATATTATTCCAGGGGGGTAACAGTATGATCTCGAATCGGAGATATCATGAATTTTATACCAAATGAAAGCCCGTGAAAAATGGGGTTTAGTGATAGTAAATAGTAAGACTTTGAAGAACTTTCGTGTACCAAATTTTTAAAAACAACGAAATTTTCTTTCAAAAACACGTTAAAAATCATTTTTCATACATTTTGAGACATTGAAAACGAACATTTTTTATGAAAACGAAAGAGAAATGATAACGATGATGATATATGACTATGACTCACACAATAAGATGGTTCTTTGGCGTTCTGTTCTTCTCTCCACGTGATACTAGTTATTTGAAAAATTTTTTCGTTCTCGGACTGTCTGAAAGTTATAGTCGAGTGAAATCTCAGTGTTTTTTCGTTTGTTATTTCAAATGGCTGGCGCTTATGATACCGAACAACAAAGAATGATTGATAGAATTAAATGCATTACTTTCCGAGAAGCTCGTGATGCTGGTGCAACATTTATAAATAGACAATGGATTGCCGACAAAATTCACCGTACGACTCGATTTGTTACAGAATGGTGGGAAAAATCGTGTGACCAATGTTTTGCTGATTATTCGAATGCTGGTCCTAAACTCAAGTTATCGAGAGCTGCTCAGGACATTATTCGTGAAGCAAGTGGTCACCAACGGAAAAGCGGTTCTGTCGTGGCGAAAGAGATTGCAAAGAAACAAAAAGAATATGTTACTCGACAAACAGTTAATAACTACCGTCGTAGGGAAGGATTAAAGCCTTTTCATGTTATTTCAAGACCGTTAAAATCTGAAACTCATATATCAGATCGATTATGGCTCTGTGATTGGTTGAAAGATTGGACTGAAGAAGATTTTCTTCATCTGGCACCATCAGATGAATTTTATGTTTGGACAGTTCGCAAACCAAATTATCAAAATGATAGGATTTGGGCAAAAAGTGTTGAAGATATTGAAGACGATGAAAGGTATCGCGAAATGGCTAAAAACCAAGCGTGTATCGGTATTTTTATCATTTTCACCGCGAAAAAAATGCATTGGGTGATTAAAGACAAAGGTGAATCTTGGACCGGTCAATATTTTCGTGACATTATTTTAATGCAACACGTATTTCCATTCCTCACCGACGAGGAAAACGTAATTGATCTGGATAATGTGATATTTGTTCACGATAAAGCACCGTGTATGCGAGCAAACATGACTCAACATCTGATTAGAGATAACAAAATCGAGTTTTGGGGCAATGATATTTGGCCTGGTAATTCGCCCGATCTCAATGCGGCGGAACATATTGGATCAATAATGAAAGATGAAGTTGAACAAAAAATGTTATCGGAAACTGGACATAATCGATATAGTGAAGACACACTTAAAAAGCACATTGCGGATGTTTTGACGGACATGGAAGAAAATACCGAATTGTTTGAAGCTCTTTTATGTTCGTATCCATCTCGACTTCGTGCAGTAAAGAGTGCTAATGGTCGTCATACTGATTATTGATTGTACTCAATAAATAATAAGAAAATAAACAGTTGTACAACATATAGTTTAGCCCCGAACTTTTTCGATGAACTGATTTTATAATATTTTATGTCGATAAAAATCGTAACGTTTGATAAATTAATACAAGAAAGTTCTTCAAAGTCTTACTATTTACTATCACTAAACCCCATTTTTCACGAGCTTTCATTTGGTATAAAATTCATGATATCTCCGATTCGAGATCATAGTGTTACCCCCCTGGAATAATATTATTTACCACCCTGTACTATCTGAGTTGGTAGCCATCTCATATTGTAACCATCTCAGTCCCTAACTAATGGACGCGTGAGCGAGGATTATACCTGTGTAAGGATGAAGTCAGATGGTTACCAACTCAGTTAGCTACCAGAGTATGGGTGGGTGTAGTTGTGGCTGTGAGCATGGAGAGTAGATCTACATCCACACCCTTATGATTTACTCCTCGAAGCTGACGGAACTTTACACATAGCTTTGGATTGATTTCATAGAAATATTCTCACACAAAAGAAATCAATAATAAACAATATCGGATTATTCTTGAAATCAATTAAAATCTGCGAGACTTTTATCGATTGTTAAGATTATTCTGAACGAAACAGATAATAACAAATTATCCCTGAATCAACTACAGTCTACTAGACTTTTATCAATTATTAAGAGTATTCTGAACGGAATAGATAATAACAGATTATTTCTGAATCAATAAAAATCTATTAGATTTGTAATCGGTCATTCAGGCTATTCCAAACGAAATAGATTATATTCGATGTTTCATGAAATCGATTAAAATCTATGAGACATTTATCCATTGTTTCGATTATTTTAAACGAAATAGACAATAACAGATTACCATGGAATGAACTAAAAATTTCTTTGATTTGTAATCCAGTAATAAGATTAGTGTAAACGAAATAAGGTTATATTTCATGTTTCTTCAAATAAAATAATTCGATTATATTTTTACTCGCTGATTTCGATTATTCGGAACATAATAGACTATATCAGACTATTCTCGAAATCAATTGTAATCTAGTAGACTTTTATCGATTATTAAGATTTTTCTAAAATAAAGTAGATAATAACAGATTATCCCTGAAGTCAATTACAATCTATTAGAACTTTAATCGACTCTTAAAGTTAGTTTAAACGAAATAGATAATAACAGCTCATTGCTGAATCAACTACAGTTTATTAAACTTTTAATCGATTATTAAGATTATTCTTAACGAAATAGTTTTTACCTGACTGTTGCTGAGATCAATTAAAAGCAATCAGACTTTCATCAACTACTAAGATTACTCTAAACGAAATACATTATATCAGTTGTTTCTTAAAATAAAATATATATCGATTCGATTTTTAATCGGTTATTTGAACTTTTCGGAA